ACATGACACTGTTCACTGATTAGATAATCTTCCCGAGGAAGACACACCGATGACAACAATCGAAGACAGAGTCACTTGACTTCAGAATGTGCCAGCGTCTACCGATCAGAATGTGTTGGGAATGCTGAGTCAGACAAGTGCAACACACAGCTCTGTAGTCGAATCACTTAGTATTTTAAGAAAAACTGTTTACAGTGTTAAATCCCAGTGAACCACCTCATGGCTGAGAGCAGCATTTGTAAAAAGACAATCCAACTAGCACAAAGAATGCACATCATGACTCCAAGGCTTCCAAAATTTGATTTTGCTCTTGGTCAGACAAGTGCATTACTTTGTAGGTTTGTGGGGGAAGTTCGGTGGTACCATGTGATGCAGTGGACGAGTTTCGAGCTGGGTTACCGCAGTTGAACCATTGGATACGCTGACTGTGATGTATTCAATACAGATAAAACGGCTTTGTATAACAAGCAGCACCCAGAAAGAACATTAAATCTTAAAGGAAAAACTGTTTCTGGATCCAGGACCTCCGAAGAGACCCACGTTACTGCTTTGTGGGAGCATGACTGGAGAAAATTTATCACCGTAGGCAATTGGAAAATTTCAAACTCTACGATGTCTGTGAGGAACAGATAGAAAAAGCGTTCAGTGCACTAATAATTATTCAAAGAACCCATGGATGACTTCTGCATTATTTCACACTTGGTTGTCCGATGTCAAACGCAACAGGGTTTTCCAAAGACACTCTATATTACTATTTATAGATAACACCCCTTGCCATAACCAAGCCGCGGTATTCTACAATGCCAAATTGGTACGGCTGCCTCCGGATCAGGGTGTGATTTGGTCCTTTCGGAAACAGTTACTGGAATATGTTCGTGATAACCAACAAAGAGCACTGGACAGCTCTTCCGTCCTGTTTGGGACTCGTCAGCTGTGCGTACTTTTTGTGTCCCCATCAGGACTTGAACCGCGATCAGTCGGATTGGGACTTCAAACCCTTCCCCCTGAGCTGCACGGTCGATGGTTATCACCCTGTGCGAATGGCCCAACCAATTTAGAGTATCAAGCTTGGATTAGCCCAGTGCACTGTTGGTTATCACAAACATTTCCATCGCATCTAAACAGTGGGGAATTAACGATCTCCCAAGGAGTGAAACCCACACCGAAGACCGTCAAGAGTGCCTGGTGCCTCTAAACAATCGAATGGGCTAATCCCAGCTTGATACTCTAAGTTACTGGAATATGTTTTGTCTTTCAGTTCAGTTCAGTTCCTGTAACCATTACCCGTGCACTTTCGTGCGCCGGTTTTGGTTGCCTATTTGGATAAAATAACAGAATGATGATTAGAATGTTGAGAGATTTAGGCGGAAGGTAGTACATTTTCACAGACTGAAGTCACAAGAATAATGAGTAGATGCATGAGCATGTTTTGTCTTTGGTTGAAGATGAGCCAATTTAGCATGAAATCCGAAGTGGACATCCTCATGGGCTTGCATATGGTCAAGAATGCTTGGGTTTCTGTGCACCCGCACGTACTGATCGACCATTTCATAAAAGCTGGATTCAAACCAACAGTGAATCAGTCGATGATGCGATCTGATTGAAGCCTCTACTCACTGTGTCTTGATGAATGTCTTTCTGAAGAAGCCGCCTGATAAAGAATTGGGTTATTTAAATTTTCTGCATCAAGTCTCTTTTCTAGTCATTGGATGAACCCGTTTTGAATCCAGCGAAGCGTCGCAAAGAAGGACATGAATGTGGAGCTTTTAATGCGCCGGAAGTTATCTCAACTGGAGAAGCACTGAATCAGTTGAAGCTGTTTGCCTTGGCTAATGCTCTGGTTTCGGGTCCATTACTTGACTGTACATTTGATTTAACCAGCACTTTTGTGGATTTCAAAACGAGAGCCGGGGTGAGACAAACGACAACCTATAATTGCTAAAAATACACCTGTGTAAGCTTCAGGGTTTTTTCTGCAATTCTGTGGGGCACTCGAATGTGATCATTTTTGTTACAGTGGTCACCAAAGCCACGGTCATGCGGTCTGTCGTTGGGCTCTGTCGCACTGGCCTGCAAATGGGTGAAGGATAATCGCGATAGATTGGTATGCGGATGTGTGGAGTAAGATGTCAGATCCGAGCGATCGATAAAAGCCGGCATGCGGAAGCGACTGTGTGAATGAATGAACGATAATCGCACTTGTTCCTGCTAGGGCGCCGATGAAGATAGACAGGTCATTGGGTAAAGGTTATCTTAACCCGTGTCTGATGGGCCCCTCACTGTTTGAGCGATGCGTTGAAAGCGCATTTGTGAATCACGTGTTGAACTTGATCCGACACTTAGGTTAACCCACCCTGGTCTTAACGAATGCATCAATCGGCTTGAAAATACACTGGCAACAGCAAAGCGAACGAATGAATTAATCTCTACAGAGATAATGATACACATTTTCACCGGGAAATCATAAATAGCGAACAATCAGGTTTGGAATTTGGGAAAGATATATCAATATTACTGAGCATACTCCGTAATGGATATTTCACTTATGTTAGATGACGTGATTTCCTTCGAATGTGTTCCGTGTTCTCATTGTATTCGACCTGGTTCATTCTTGTTTTCGTCAAGTGGGTTAATATTGATGTTGTCATTATTATAACTAAAGCGGTTGTATGTTATGGTGGGCGCCATATACGAAATTCTGTGTTTAATCTAACATTCCAAAGGAATGGAGGAACACATGGAATTAATATGAATTAATTTGAACAGAAAAGATTCCTCTGAGGAAAAGGAAGTAAGTAGACGCTTGAAACTGAAAAACAGCTGAATACCGAACGCAATATACTAATATTAGACTGAGGGTATCATAAAAGATTTCAATTTCTTCGATACACAAAGGATACATAGAACGGTATACTGAAAGTCCGTTATAAATAAACAGTACATATTTAAAATCATTGAGAAAAAGTAACGGAATTGACGTACTTTTCATCGATCCGGTTTATTTTGTCACAAAACTCCTGGTCGACTTTTCATACTATCTAATAACATCTACTACTGACTAACATGCTATGTCTCAGTTACTGGAATTTACCTTATTTTTGAATTCCCGAGGGGTGCGACAGCACGAGATTGACTGTACCTTGTTCTGCTCCTTGACTTTGTTCATGTTAAATTATTTTCCATTCCGAAAGTTTCTTTGTTGTTATTGACATTTTTATTTATTTTTGCAAAGATCAAAGTTTGCTTTTTCTTCCCGGTGTAACGCAATTTCGCGCAAAGCCGTCGAGTTCATTCGAAATCGCCTTTTCGTCTTCACCTTGTAGTTTAGTGGATAACTGATTACCTGAATGTATAGCTACCGATGTGTGCTTATGTAAAAATACCACTTGGTTTCCTAATTCCACTGCATTTCCCCGTCGTTGACTCGAACCTTCTTTATTAGATACCTTTCTTCAAGTGATATACTGTTTCTTTTTTGATCATTGCTTTCAGTAAAGTATTCAATTAATAACCCATAGGCCTATCATATTCAAGTGCTATCATCAGAAAGCCTCATTGAGCGATGAGATTTACCTTTTTTGAATGTAGGTCCTGAAACAGTTTACAGAACAACTTGAGTCGTCTTGAACAATGAGACCACGATCATTCTCATTCGAGACATACGCAATTTGTTGATATCCTAGGAAGTACGAAAACCGAGTTTTGTGAAGAAGAGATACGATCATATATTTTGTTCCATTGAATTAGATGTCGTTTTCGATCGATCATTTGTAAGCAGCATTAAATGTTCTCTGAAGTGCCAGCGAGTTCTCGGATTTTGTCAGTGTTTTTCATATTTTTGCATCATCTGCAAACATTAACGTTTGTGGCCCCAGAAGTTCCTTTAGGTAGTTTAAAAAAACCCAGAAAATGTTGAGGGCCAAGCACGGATCCCTGTGGAACTCCTCGGGCTACGCTGATAGGATCAGAAATTGACCCAGAAACCCGAACTGTCATGGGGCGTTGTTGAAGAAATTCTTCCATCTCACCCAGTGCAAATCCCCGAATTTCATAATTCTGTAGTTTCCTCAGCAGTATTTTGTGGTTCACTCGGTAGTTTAGTGGATAAGTAACTACCTGAAGTTACAGCTCCCGTTGTGTGCTTGTGTAAAAACACCGACTATTTTCCTAATTCTACCGAATTTTCCCGTCACTGACTTGAACCTTCTTTAGTAGATACTTTTCATCAAGTGATTTACTGTTTATTTTTTAATCATCGTTTTCAATAAAATATTCAATCGATAAACTATAAGTCTATTGTATTCAAATGCTATCATTAGAAAGCCTCATTGAGCGATGAGATTTACCTTTTTGAATGTAATTCACAATACCAAATATCTAGTGTCAGTCAACTGTGGACAACAGCACGGTAAGTTTGAAGATCTGAGTAGCTTCCACTGAGTGTTTTTATTCGTACCCACTGAATGTTTTGCAGACTTCCGTAATCCGATCAATAGTTAACAATGTTTCCTATCAGCGTGACCTAGTTCACCATCTCCCACTCTATTGCACATCCACAGATATCCACCCAAGATCGGCAGTGGGAGAAGCAATGTCCCATCAAATTGTTTTTGCTCTCAAAACGATAAGTGAGACCACCATCCTCACATCTCATGGGTTCTTGATATCCTCTCCTCCGTGAAAAGAGAATGCTATAGGTGACATATCACCGTCCAGTTTGGAACATTCAATCCTCTTGGTAGATGATATTCTTCGTGAATTCTGCCATTTGGTAATTGAGTTTGGTTGGTGCCAGTGACTCCGCTTTGCTCACTTCTGCCAGGAACGAAAGCGGTTATGCGTGGAACAGCTGTTTGAAACGGAAACCATAAAGTTGTGTGCGATCAAGCATAAAATTGTCGAATTCAAACAATTCAAGGTGCATGAGCTTCGAGGTCGGTTTGCCCAATTAGAAACTTCTAATTGATGGTGTTGCAGAGAAAAGACAGAAAGTTCAACAGATGAATGAAGGGGAAATCGCAGAACATAAAGCGAACTTGGAGAAACTACTCGCGGAGATCGATGCACTTCAGGCCACGTCGGACAGATTAACCAAGGAATTGTCCGACTTGAGGTGAACAATTTTTCAACGTGTATACAATTTTATTTTCGGGACAATGGTGACTTTGTTATGAGATGTAAATTTTTGATACATAATCAGGGACACCATGAAACTTGTTTCAAGCCTAGCGAGTTTCATCGATTTTCCAGCACATCTAAAGTCCCCGAGGTTGTATTATGTAAAATCAACCCAAGATTCATGTAAAGGTTAGAAACAGAAAAATTCGTCTGTACACACTTGTTACAGTTCTTGACATGGATGAAATGTAAACACTTTTCTTGGTGAGTTTATGTTAAACATATTTATTTAGCGTACAAGCATTCCCAACGCACCGGTGTACACATATATTTAAATTGGTACCTTTACACTGAAATTTATGTTCAAACTAATGTAGATGAGTGGAACATTACAGGATGAAGGAAGCTCGCTTGGTGGCCGAGAACGAGAAGAGAATTATCGACCTGAATCACTGTTTATCGACCAAGGCTCAGCGGCAAGCCCATTTAAACGATCTCCGGGAAAACGCCCATGAAGCAAACACAAAGGTGATGCGCAATTTATATCCGCCTTATTCTCTCTCTTATTTCGACCCTTTACTTTCAAACTGTTTTTGTTTAATTTTCCGAAACCGTTTTGATATAATTTACCTATACATCAGTGCTTCGTCAACTCCTGGTGTAGACTGCAGTGAAAACTCCAGAGATTGTTATTCCGGTATCAGATACTCATGATCCGATTCAGGGGAAAGCAATTTCGACAACAAATGCTTCCATGCTTCCCATTTATTGGATTGCATTGTGACAGAATGGTAGCCAAGTGGTATAAACTTAATCACATTGGCCTGGAGTTATCTCTGCCAGTTCCAACTCCAATTCCATGTAATCCCTTAAACGTTGGCCTCTCGTCTGCTGAAAGTTAGCGGGACAATTGTAGGCCAAATAAAGAACTGTAAAAAGATTATTTCAGACACAATGTTTTGGTTAGTTCATTGGATTTGGGTCTTGTTAATCATATTTCTCGGAGGTAAGAGAAGCGTTGATTCCATGTCGAGAATTTTTCAATTTGAAGCCTATCAGGAACACAGAAAGTACGTAATGCTGACAAGGCCCCAGGTTGCGTAGGCCACGGCGACTGAATTTTCTTGGGTAGTTCACAACCGAAGTCTTCGATTAGCCAAAGCCTGACCTACAAGGCAGCGGGGCGGTGTGGGAAAACCAAAATCCACTGGGGGCCATTGTCCAGTTCACCGGATCATACGATTTTTAGACGAGATCAAACGCCCAAAGAGCCCAATTCACCTCGATGCCCAATTGAGCCGGTGACCACTGCCACAAACGGGAACATGTGTGTGTGGTTTGTGCGTCTCTTCTTGGTTGGCTGAGAATCACATCATAAAGATTATTGTACGTGATTTGTTTAGTACACACTCTGAACGCAGACGTGTGTCAAAAACATACACGCGAGGCCTCAATAAGTATCTTGATCAACTTTTCAGAAAAGGGGAAATGGTCCCAATGGTGTTTTTTGACATATCGTACCTCACTGTCAAGTCAACAAATCGATTTTATTATCTCCTTGGGGATACATTGCTCATTTGCTTCAAAATCACTGTTTACTATAGTAAAATGGGAAGTTAGAGAGAAACGGTAGAGAAGAAAAGCGTAAAGAAACCCTGTACACACATAAACGACTAAGCGAATTCAGCCGGGGCTTTCAATGATGAAATGATTGTTAGTAAGAATCTGTGCAATGTACGGTATTAAAGAGGACATGTGTGTTATTGTGCATGCTGGTTGTGCTTTTGCTTGAATGAAAAGGATGATGCAAAGATGCATTTGCTAAAATCTGAATAAAGAGGGTGAGTTGGATCAAACAGTATTCTGGAAGAAAGCTTCTTGCAAGCATTAATGTGGTGTGAAATTGAAAGGCATACAATATGTTCGCGAGACATGCCACCGTGTTAACACAGATGATTGATGGACCCGCGTATGAGTCTGCAGTCATTGATAAGAAGACCGTGCTAGGTAAATGGGATCCATGAAGCCAGTAGTGAAGGATGCAAGAGAAGACAAAACGGTTTACTGAGTAGTTTAGGGTACATATCACTTTAAAATGGACAGCGTAAAACGTTCGTTTCCTGACTTTGGGAAATGTCTCGGTGACATGAGTAAACCATGAAAGGTCACGGGAAGTGGCAACTCCGAGCTATTTGATGAAGTACTTTCATAAACTTGTGTTTGGTTGATAACGACACTCTGGCTAGGATTCATTAGATTACTGTATTCGTCACTCTTTAGCAATGAAATTAAAACATCTGTAGACCGGAAGGGATGCATACACAGGTTGCAATGGACAGGCAGTTGGGAAGCCTTGGAACGTTACGCATGAGTTCAGGGTCCTTGCAGGACTATGGGAAATTCATGCTATACACAACATTATCCGCATATTTAATAAGTATACACCCTAAGAATCCCATTTATTCTGAACCGGTCAGAGGTGGTTCTTATCCAGGATTGGTTTCTAGCAAAAAGAACTAATTATGAAAGCTCCAAGAAAATAACGCGTCATCAAAGATGCTGTGGTGAATGGAAAAGGAATGCTGATTTAAAACTTGTTTATTCCGCATGCCAGTGTCAGCTTTGTGGACTCTTCCGCCGCTCCGCTACCAAAGTCAACGAAGGTTGGTTTGAGGGCTGTAGTCAGAGCATGCAGCAGACCACTAGATAGTCGTACAATTTCTTTGATTGATTTATCCATTGTAAGGGTAGGTATCTGGGTGGTCGGATTACAGACCTATTGGACGTGACTCATTTCTAGTTCGTCTTATTGCCTAATCGAGCCGGAGACAGTGTTTTCAGAAGTTATTGAGAATTGATCAAAATTTTTACTTCATAGGTATAAAAGATTCGCAAAGACGGAGAGGATTCTACACACTCCTCGGATGAAAAGTAACCTGGATCGAGATATTTCATGAGATATTTCTGGATTGATGAAAACTCATACTTAATGAGGAGCAAAATTACAAATCAACCAAAAGTTGAATTTTCTAACCATATCAACCACAACTTGGTTACGAGTTGATCAGCCGTTGCTAATTGACACAGATAAGTGTTGAAAAAAATGCAGATTTGTTGAATGAATCCATGGAATATGTTATGGTTCTTCTCCACACTTCCTCCTCTATGAATCAAATGGTATCGGAAAAAACAGATATTGTTTGACAAAGGTTCCGATCAAAGTACAATGTTACGGAAGGAATTTCCGATGATCCCAAAACAGACTATCTATTCGTCTCTCTCGCTTTCTCTTTGAATGCTAGTGCGATGAAGTGTCAGCCAACGTGAACAAAATCAATGATGCATTGAACAAGGAGCGGATCGAAAAGCGTCGCCGTATTGTTAAAATAGAATCAGATCTGGTGAGTTCAAATAAAGATAGATTGATGGCTATTGATCGGGCACTATTTATGCTCCCAAGAAATTGCTCGTGTTTCTGCCTGGTTTTCAGAGTGGATGTATACCTAGCAGTGAGATGCAGTTCTCAAGGCCCAGTAACCCTAGGTATCCGTGTACAGTATGGCTCTATTAAAAGTATATTACAGAATTTGTGACCAACCACCTTTCCTCACTTCAAATGACGACAATTATGTTCATTAAAATATATCTGCTGCATCCCGTTTGTTAGGGTTAACAACCATGTAGTGAATTGCGCAGTGTATCTATCTGCAGTAGAAATACATGCAGCCAGTCCATGGGCCTAGTTGTAGGCAGGCAGGTAGGCTAGCAACGGGTACATGCGTTACATAACACCCGAAAGAGATCAAGCGGGGCATTTGAAAGGTCAACAAATCAATCTGCGCAGAAATTCTGGTACTAACCCTTGGTTGGCTGGAGCGGATCGATACTTAAACAGAATAATTCCGCTGATGTGCGTGCGTGTGTGGCAGCAAGCAGTATCGATCAATCAATCCGTCCACAGACATGCATGGAGAATTTATCAACTATTTTCAGACCACAACAGTATCCAAAGCTTGAAACACCCTCAAATAAAAGTCCGCAACTATCAGTTTCAGTGTTTATAACCCTCAACCTTTCACTTTCTCGTAGGTATTCTGGTTGGTGTATTTTGGGTAGCCTATACGGAGGAATGAGTAAAAGGAGTAAGTAGAAAGTCAGGAGTTAATGTCAAAGTGAAAATAGGGTACTCAGCGAGACTAAGGTTGCAAGAATATTGAGTGGATAAAATAGCACCACAGCTTACGAAGCTCAGCCACATTACTTAGTATTACTAACCATCGATGACGCCGATCCCGAGGTCCTCAACCGGAAAGTTTAAAGTGACCTATCCTGCGAATCTCATGGTCGAAGTTTTCAAATCTCCATGCTAGATTATTTTGACCACGTTTAACCTTCTTTCACTCACTACCTGACCTAGTAAACATAGCACGTCAGAGCAATCCGTTTGCTGACATACATAAAACACCCCAGCCAAGGTGGTCCATGAAGATCGAGCACTTGCTTCAATGTACCACCTAAATTAACTAAAACTCTTCATCTAGCCAAAAGTATCCAACAATCATTAATTTATTGATTTGCGTTACAAGAACCACGTACCCGCTGTTGTCACTTATAGATGGGTGTATAGAAGTAGTGACTAGTGTTATGTAGGTTCAATTCCGTCGCCTAAGGGCACGTGATATGCCTGCGTCACAGAAACTAGCGAGTGAATGATTAACTTGTACTGGACACAACACAACTCATTGTTCGTTCGGATAATGAACAGCTAGAAATGCATTCCTTTGGGTACATCACGCGTTGATCTCAAGATTGATTCATTGCAGATATTCGTTACTCAAATAATACAGCAGTACTATTGCACTGTGGCACGCTATCTAGAATAATTTGTTCAGATCAGCCCTGGTGAACATTTTACGCCTACCAAGTAACTGCACACCAAATCCTTTTTATTAACCACATTTCTTGACTTCTGTCTATTGATTCAAAAGACTAATAAATATTTGCTCTTCCTATCTTCGAATTGCAGACATGCTTCCTCCTTCAGTTTCATAGAAACCAAATTTCGTTCTGTTTCAATTCACATTTGACCCANGAGATTAACTTTGATAAGAGCCAAACCGGGTCCACAATAGTTCATATCGGTATGGTTGACTAGATGACTTGAGGACTGTGAAAACTGGTCAGAGTGTGAAGAATGGCTTATCCGAAAAGCCGGTCTAATCGGCCACTCGTTAGTCAAGTAAGTATTATGCTTGTGTTCTATCTATGAAATCTGGGGTTGAATGGTCAGTCAGGTCGAAGAATTTGTGCTACTGATGAGACCCAACCAGGCCGAAACAGTTGTACACCATTTCTTAGTTATCTAGTTCGTCCTTTATTTGCTGTGCTCAAACCAGCATGATCCAATACTCCACCATCATGTACCAAATCAATTCCGCCAATGTTATTTTCTTCAAGGCTACCTACAAATCTCAAGACTCTTGTGATAATGATCAAAATGAAACAAAAGATCATCATATTAATGAGTGTTTTACAACTCTTTTTTGGTTATAGACAAATATTACAAACCAAACAAAGGTACAAGAACGAAAAAACACGGAGCTCATGGGGTCAGTCGACAAATCGTTAAACAAATATCTACGATCTTCATTTATTTTATCATTCTTTTGACTCGCAGTTTAAACAGTAAATAAAAAAAGATTTAAAAGGGCTAGGGACATGAAATGTTATGTCGTTTGGTTTGTATAAACACATATGCCGTTCAAAACCCGTGCACAGCACAGCCGTCCCCATTGAGTCCTATTGGAGCACTATCCGAGTTCGATTGCACCCAAAAAGGGAGTCTTGAAATGGGACTTCAATAGGACTCGGGTTTGATCCGAATGGGGAGGGGAATCACCGTGACGACTGTTTTATACTTTAATATCCAAATATAATAATGATCCCACTAAACGCATACCCACTTTAGCTAATTTGTAACTGATATTTGTACGCAAATCTTGGTTTCTTAAACCCATTCGAAACCTGTGTAAATGCAACGACTCATTTCCTATCGTACTCTGTATAATCGTTCTGTTTCATGCACCCAGTTCCCTTCAACATTTTCATGAGAGCAAGAAGAGGCCTCGTGTTGAATTCAACTATATCGTGGTTATCTGATTAGCTACGTATACACATTCGGATCCCAAAGGCCAAAGGTCAAAGTGTCGAACCAAATTGA